TTAACTGTTGGTTAAGGGATGTGGCTTCTTTTAATGGTCAACATACGCAAGTTTGGTGCTAGGTAATGGCCAGGCAGTAAAATTTTTAATTCACTCCCATAAACTATCTCAAAATGTTGATCAACCGGAAGATTGAGTGAAAAACACGTAACGCTTGTTACGTAATGCTTCTATACAAGTCCCCGACTCTGCCCAGGGTTAAGTTCAAGCCAGCAGAAAACTATACACTTGCCCCATGTCACAGAGGATACCGTGAAGTCTCTCTATCCTATATATATATATTTTTTTTTTGTATGCCATTGGCTCATGCTGATGGAAGACGTTAAGTCAGCCCAGTGAAACTCATCTGTATGGCAAGGATGTTGTTGAGAGCATGATTTCCTAATCGGGGAATACCTGTGCTCTTGTGAGCAAATCCAATCCAGTCTCCATCCTGACTGTTAAGGAATGTGACTTCCTTTAATTAATAGCACTTATATAACTGATCACGTTTATCCTTTTGAGTTGGCCCCTTGAAAGCTCACATTTCACAAATGTATCACTCGCCCCTATCGAATGAATAGAATTCTGGAACACTTATTTTATTATATTCATCCAAGTCCTAACTCCATGATGTGATCCTCTCACTATTTTTCTTTTTCAGCTATGTTTTTTAAGGCTTGTTTAAAAAAAAGTTTTATTTATTTATTTTGAAAGAGAGTGAGAAGGCACGGGTGGGGGAAGGGACAGAGAGAAAGGGAGAGAATCCCAAGCAGGCTCTCTGCATTGACAGTCCAGAGCCTGACACAGGGCTTGAACCCATGAATCCATGAATGAGATCATGACCTGAGCCGAAACCAAGAGTCGGACGCTTAACTGGCTGAACCACCCAGACGCCCCTCTTTTACAGCTACTTTTAAGTCATGTGATGGTGGTGGATTTTTTTTTTTTTTAATGTTTATTTATTTTTGAGAGAGAGGGACAGAGACAGAGCGTGACCGGCGGAGGGGCAGAGAGAGAGGGAGACACAGAATCATAGGCAGGCTCCAGTCTCTGAGCTGTCAGCACAGAGCTCGACGGGGGACTCAGACTCACAAACCATGAGATCACGACCTGAGACAAAGTCAGATGCTCAACCCACTGAGCCACCCAGGCGCCCCTAGTGGTGGATTTTTACATATCTATTAATGTCCTTAAATGCATATATCCTGTTCATGGTTCTTCTGACAAGACTTCTTTTTTTTTTCCTTGCTTCTTTGCCCTTAGCACCTCTTTTAAGTCCTTGCTCTTCCTCCATCCTATTTCCTGCACACTGAAATTCTACTTTTCACTTAAGACCTAGGCCGAGATGCCATTTCCCTCCTAAAACATTCTCCAGTCTTTTCAAACAGAAGGAAGCCCTTTCTCTCCTGAATCGTCCTAGGCTTTGCACCTGTTTTGTGGCCTTCCTCACATTCTGCCTCTTGTTGTATTTATCAGAGTCTTTCCTATTCATGCGCCTGGATGGAAGCCACTAGAGGCTGTGGTCATGGTGCAGACATCTTTACTTCTGTCATTGCTGCAAACAGCGTTGATACTCATAAAGTTGTGGCTTCGAGTCAAATATTAATTGAAGGGGGAGAGCAAAGTCATTTAGATGAGGGGATCTTAGAAACCTTAGTGGAGAATCTAGTTTCCTTCTGCCATTCAAAATCATTTAGATTTTCATAGATGACATTGGCCTGGCGTTTTCCTTCATCATCCGGCTCTTGTCTAGTTTGGGAATCAAAGTTATATGCTTCATGGCACCATAAAACAAACGAGGGAAACTTCCCTCTTTTTTCTCTTCTTTGGAATAACTTGTATAATCCAGGGGGATCATCTAATACATGAGGATGGAGCCGTATTTATAGAATCATCTGTGTCTGTTGCTTAGTTGGAGGGATAGATTTTTTTTTTACTGGTAATTTTATTTCTTGGTGATTACTGGTCTATTCAGGTTTTCTAATTCTTCCTGTGTCAACTTTGCTATTTAATATTTTTCTGGAAAATTGTCCATTTCATCAGTTTTCCAAATCTTCATAATAAAGTTGTTCATGTATTATTTTTTCCATCTGCAGCTACATTCTTTTATTCCTAATATTATTTATTTGTATCTTCTCTCTTTTTTTTTTCTTGTTCAGTCTTTCTAGAGATGGGTTCGTTTTCTTTTTTTTTTAATATTTATTTATTTATTGAGAGCCTGAGAAAGAGCGTGAGCTGGAGAGGGGCAGAGAGAGAGGGAGACACAGAATCTGAACCAGTCTCCAGGCTCTGAGCTGTCAGCACAGAGCCTGATGCGAGGCTCGAACTCATGGACGGTAAGATCATGACTTGAGCTGAAGTCGGACGTTTAACTGACTGAGCCACCTGGTGCCCCAGAGATGGGTTTGTTTTCTGATAACTAGATTTGATCTTTATTGTTTTCCTTTTGTTTTTTGTTTGTTTTCCACTGTATTAAATTCTGCTTTCATCTATTCTTTTTCTCGATAGCTGATGGTTTTCTTCCCCTCAGTATGTTTCATGGTCTTTGTATTTGTCTCAGAGGTCCCTGCTTAGCTGAGCACCAATTACTATTTGCTTCTGCCAGCATCTCCATAATTGAGCTACAAGTTCATACAGTGCCATAATACTTACGTTCCCCGACTGTTCACGAACGATTCCAGTCCAAGACAGAAATTGAAGATTGGAATTACTTGTCAGACCTGGATCTTTCAACTAGCATTATTGGACATGGCCTCCTTCTCCACTTATTATAACGATCTGGCTGAGTATAGTGACCTCCCCAAGCCCCAGTACTCTATCAGTCCAGCACACAAACACTCTACTCAACCTTACATGGTGGCCTTGCCCTGGTCGGCCCAGATGGATCCTTCAACTACACTCCCGTCTCCTCCTATCCACCTGGCCCTACAATCCATACTCCGCTGACTGGCTTGAGTGAGACCTTTCAAATGCAAATATCTTCCTTTCACTACCCTCTTTCTTAAAACCCTCCAATGTTCTCTTATTTATTTTGGAATATAATTCTGATTCTTTACTACAAGCCTATAAGGCCCTATGTGTCCTAGTCCCTGCTTACACTTCTGATCAGTAAGAGCACTCTCTCCCTCAATCCTGAGGCTTGCACACCAGACCATTTCCAATTTAGTGATTTGGTGCCAGCGGTACTCTCTGTCTAGAACTCTCTTGACATGGCTGGCTTATTCTTATCCTTCATGCCTCCCCGGAGAGCTCTTTCTTCTATAACTACTCCGCCTCCAATGGCAGAATGTGTACGGCCAAGTTATTCTACGCAGCGGTTCTCAACGAGGGGCGATTTTGCCTCCCCACCTCCCCACCTCCAGGGACACGTGGCAATGTCTGGAGACATTTTGGATTGTCACACTGGGGCAGATGCTGCTGTCGTCTAATGGGCAAAGGCCTCGGATGCTGCTACACAGCCCACACCACAGAGCAAAGGATTATCCAGCCCGAAGTGTCAGTATTCCCAAGGTTAAGAACCCCATACTTCCCACTGCCCTGTCTTCTGTTTACTTGTTTAGTTGATTTTGTTCTGTCTCCACGTGGGAGAATGCACTCTGCCAAGTTGTTCCAACACAGTTTGCCTTGAATGAAACTGATAACCTCTGGTGTTTGCTGCTTCCTTTTCCAGGGGACATGTTGTAAATTTAGCTCGGGAGTATCTTAGTTTGGGCTGCAACAGATTCCCACAGATTAGGTGGCTTATAAACGACAGAAATTTCTCACCGCTTTGGAGGCTGGAAATCTGAAATCAGGGTGCCAGGAGGGTCACGTTCCGATGAGAGTCCTCTCCTTGGTTGCAGACTGCCAGCTTCTCACTGTGTCCTCACACGGTGGTGGAAAAGAGCAAGAGAGCTTTTCCGGGGTCCTTCTAGAAGGGCACTAATTCCAGGGCACCTGGGCAGTCAGTCAGTTGAGCTTCCAACTCTTGATTTCAGCTCAGGTCATGATCCCAGGGTGTGGGATCGAGCCCAGTGTCAGGCTTTGCACGGAGCATGGAGCCTGCTTGAGATTCTCTCTCTCTCTCTCTCTCTCTCTCTCTCTCTCTCTCTCTCTCTCTCTCCCCCTCCCCCCCGCCCTTCTCTCCTGCTGCTCTTTCTCTCTCTAAAATAAATAAATAAATAATAACAATTAAAAAAGAAGGGCATTAATTCCACTCACTAGGGCTCCACCCTAATGACTTCATCTCCTCCTAATTATTTCCCCAAAGCCCCACCTCCACCGTCCGTCACATGCGACGCGGGAGTAGGGTTTCAACAGGTGAATTTGGGGCGGGGGGGGGGGGACACGGACATTCATTTCATAATGAAGGATATGTACCTTTTCAGATGTTGCGAAATCCATCTTTCCCCTTCTTTTGAAATTTAAGACTATAATGACCTATTTTTTTTTTAATTTTTTTTTTCAACGTTTATTTATTTTTGGGACAGAGAGAGACAGAGTACGAACGGGGGAGGGGCAGAGAGAGAGGGAGACACAGAATCGGAAACAGGCTCCAGGCTCTGAGCCATCAGCCCAGAGCCCGACGCGGGGCTCGAACTCACGGACCGCGAGATCGTGACCTGGCTGAAGTCGGACGCTCAACGGACTGCGCCACCCAGGCGCCCCTATAATGACCTATTTTTAGTGTCCTTATACTTCTTCTGGCAGCCGTTCCCCCAGGAGATTCTTATCCCCTTTCACTTTTCTTAAAGTGATGTTACCTCCTTCTCTCGGCCTCCTGGAGAAGAGCAGGTGTGCCTGTTCAACTTGGCCTCCACCAGTCTGTCCCGAGAAGTAAAACCGTTCTACTTACTTAATCGTCTCTTATCCCATCAGCTCAGGTAGCAGTCGACAATGTATATCTTCAAAGACCTTTTTCATTCTTTTTTTTAACCTTAACTTATTAAACGATGATTTGAATGTCTTGGGCTCTCAAAGCATAAAACTCCCCTGGAGAGTTTGACGGCTATCACACCCTATTTGTCTATATAATGATCAGGATGCTACTTCTTGCATTTAAGCAGTAATTCTTTTTTTTTTTTTTTTAAGTAATTGTAACTGCTTCAGTGCAATGGATAAAGTAATACGTTTCCTCAAGTGCCCGGGTGATTCTGAGTTAGGACTCTTCTGCCCTGGTGCTGTCTGAGAGAACATCCTACAAGACCAAAAGAGCATCATTGGTGAAAACAGTGTCCCACACTTCCCCCTTTAGTGAAGTGCCCCTTAAATATTTTAAAGATTTCTATGGTTGGCTTCGGGACTTAATCAACTTACATATCAGCTGCTGACTTTTTTTTTTAAGTGTTGATTTATTTATTTTGAGAGGGAGGGAGGGGCAGAGAGAGAGAGAGAGAGAGAGAGAGAATCCCAAGCAGACTCTGCGCTGTCAGCTCACAGCCCGACTCGAGACTCGATCTCACAAATCCTAAGATCCTGACCTGAACCCTGAGACCATGACCTGAGCCGAAATCAAGAATCGGATGCTCAATCGGCCGCGCCGGCGAGGCATTCCCCAGCTGCTGACTTTTAAAACGGATCATAGGATAGATTTTTTTAGGATAATTACCGTGTCTGTTCTACAACATTTAGCTCCCCTTTCTGCAGCAGTCAGCAGTTGCCTTTTCCATCCGAAAGGGGAACTCCTAATGAGCTCGCACCTCACAAAGGCAAGACCCCCCGTGTTTAGCCTTCAACCTGGACACCCAAGGTACAACCTGCCTGGATGGGGGGGGCCCGCTCGGCGTTCTTCCCTGACAGCGTCTGGCGCGTCTTGGCTTTGGGAAACGCACTGACGCTTTTGGGGAGCCTCTGCCAGTCAGTGACCCTGCAAAGTCACACCTTCCTGATGCCCACCCCCACCCTTAGTCTCCTCCAGAAATTATTTCATCACTGCTCATAATTCTGAAGAATTTGGCAGGCTTTTCACTTAAAGAAAGATACAGACAAATTTCCTTCTTCCTCTTTTCCCTTCCCCACTGCCCTCCCACCGCCCCCAACAGCCATGGTGAGGAAATGAAATGCCCTTCATTTTAAGAATAGGAACGAACATTACTTAAGTACTTATCATAGCCAGGTCCTCTGCTGGGTAATTCACTTTCTTATTTTATTAGTAGTGGATCAATTAGAATAGTACCTAACACTGCCCTATCGCCCTATGGTAGTCCCTTCCCCCCCACCAAACAAACTAAAAGGTCATGTAACACGGAACTTCTAGCAGTCCAGTTCTGGGGATGGTACCCATAGTTACTTTCTTGCATTGACACTTTGCCTGGTGGGGATCAGAAATCTTTGGTTTGTCTGACAATATACTTTTTGTTCTTTGAAGAGCAAACGAAACCAATCACGCCTTTCTGTCATGTAAACGTTTCGTTCCTATTTCATTTACCTTAAGCATGTCAAATATTTCTGTTAGCCTTTTTAGAATGAATAATTGCATTGATAGCTAACATTTACCGTGCGTTGATTTTCACCTAAACTCTTTAAAATTTCTACCTAGATCGGCTCAGTTGGTTAAGCATCAGACTCCGGCTCAAGTCATGATCTTGCGGTTTGTGGGTTCAAGACCCACATCGGGCTCTGTGCTGACAGCCCGGAGCCTGGAGCCTGCTTCGGATTCGGTGTCTCCCTCTCTCTCTCTCTGCCCCTCTTCCGCTCACCTGTCTCTCAAAAATAAATGTTAAAACAAACAAACAAACAAGATTTGTACCTAGATCATCTTTCTTTAAAGTGCCATTTTTACTGGGGCACCTGGCAGGCTCAGTAGGCAGAGTGTGCGAATCTTGATCTCAGTGTTGTGAGTGTGAGCCCCGTGTTGGGCACGGAGCCTACATAAAATTAAAATTAAAAATAATAATAATAAAGTGCCATTATTATTATTATCCACCTGCAAATCAGTGGTCAGAGGCACCAGGAAGTTTAGTCACTGGTCCAAACTCGCTAATAAGTAGTAGAAATTAGAATCAGACTTGGGCCTCTGACTTCAGGGTGTACCTGCTTTATGCTCACCCACCTGTCTTCCAGCAGCCAAAGCTGTGTGGTTCTTGGGCAAACATCCTAACCTTCTCTGGAACCTCCAGTGGGACTTTATGCACCCCATCATGCTTCCAAAGTCCATTTTATTACGGCCTTAGCCACTGTCCACAAAAACAATCACGCTGCCATCTCACCGGGTATGCTGTGAAGCTACAGGATTTTTTTTTTTTTTTAAAGATGTTTCAGGGAACTAGATTCCTTCTAACCTGTGCTTTGAGCCCATTCACATCCAATCTCACTCAGGAACAGGGGGTGCAGCAGTTTTTCCCAGCAGACACCAAAATCAAGGTGGCGTTTCTGACTCCGCCACCTGGATGAGAGAGTATTTTGTGCTCTCAGAGGAAACTCTGCGCAGCCCAGCTCCACCCCCAGCCCCAGCGTCAGTGGTGGCCTGTTCCCTGGGGGGGGGGGGGGGGGGGGGGGGGGGGGGATCTGGGAGGCAGGTGATCATCCTTATTTAGATGTGCCAGTGATCATGTGACCAGAAAATGGAGGCGAATCCGTATTTCCACTTAACTGTTCCAGAAGGGAGATGCTGAGGAGCTGTAAGGCAGCATCCTCGCCCTCCCGGGAGCCAGCCTCCTCTTTTCCTTCAGAAGGTAGGTGGGTCCCGGGGCGGCTTTGGGACGATCGCGTGTCTGAACGACAGATTGCGATGGAGAGTGTTCTGGAGGACGGGTCTGTTGTTGCTGGGAAGTTGGAGGGGGAGCAGGGAGGGGGGATGGGAGGATGCGGGGGCTCCGCCCAGCCCCCTCGCCGGTGACAGCTGGAGGCCGCCGCGTTTCATTCTGTATCAACTCGGACCGGAAAGGCTTGTGGTCTTTGACGCTATCCCCTGCCCCTCCCTTGGCAGTCAGGTAATTAGGGAACACAGACTGCACAGCTATAGACATTGTTTCTTCCTTTAGGATGAAAATGGAGATAGAAAATCGGAGGAAGTGACAATTTGGGAACTGCTTAGGATATTAATTACAGTGTCTATTTGACAAGCGGATCGGCCCTGGCCCAGTGGCATTTTTATTTTTTATATCCTTGCTAATAGTTACTGAAGCTGGTAACACACACTTCTTTTTTCAAATGAATCTTGTAATCCTTAAATCTTACCTAAATTCTAAGCTGCGGATATAGGTCATCCTCAAAAATGGGCTTGTGTCGTTCTCTACCGCCTTTTCAGAATCGGGAGATACAGTACCCTACGTACAGCGTATCAATATTTCACTGAGATACTAAGTTATATGAAAACTAAAACAAAATGACCACCTGGTCAATTTCAAGCAAGAAATACACAGGTTATTAAATTCCTCTGTGGAAACCAAAAAACAAAACTAGACCCCCCACCTGGAAGTGATTTAAAAGTGATTGTTCCTGAGATCCGAGTACTGGTCTTGGTGATTTAAGGGAGGGAGACCTCATCTGTGTATAAACCGCCCCCTTCTTTCATATAGGAACTCTTGATGTGGTGTCCGTCTTAATGCAAACTGCCTTGTGAGAGGAGCACAGCTCCCAGGCTTACCCACAACTGGATGGCTGCCCCAGGCCGCTCCCACAGAGAAAACGGGGGCTCTCACCCTGTGAGACCATTCCAAAATGTGCGATTTGATGAAAGTTCTCTTAAAATCGTAACTGATCGTGTTTGCAGAATGTAAGATCTGGAATCATTAGATTAAAATTCCTGGTGATTAAAAAAAAAAAAAATGACCCATGACATTTCTCTTAATTGCTGAGAGACTTCTGAGCTTTATTGATTAATTACACATATTCAGGGTAGTCAAAGCTTGGTACTTTAAAATGGCTTGGACCTTGCTTTGCAACTCAGAGACAAATAAAACATTCAGCAGCACCCGGACATCCCCGAGACGTCGCTTTGTAATGCAAAGTTCCCCTTTATGTCCTGAATAAAGTAAAGCTTCAAAGATGCTTAAGGATAATAAGCCAGAGTCTTCTATTAACAAGAAGGCAAAGTAACGTTTTTCCATGATTAGGGTTCTCTTTGCTATATCCCAGTGACTTTCCATTCACATTCCATTTGGGTTTTCAGACTCGAATGGCTTTAGTCCTGGGGAAAGATTTCTCTCTTATTAAAGGATCATAATACTTCCTTGACCTTTAGACTTCATACTTTCTTGCTAGCCAGAAGACAAGGGTGTGGGGTTTGCCCATAGGTTCACGTGGTCAATATAGGTTATGATGGGAAAGCTCGAGTTCACCTACAGCAAGTAAAAGCTTATTTTTGTTTTTTGCTTTTTGTCTTCTTACCCAGGCTGGAACTGCTTGCCCTTTGTTTGACACGCCAAGATCTTGTAGACAGAGGCTTGACGTGAACCATCTTCCCGCTAGAGTGCTTGAATTGGGGATAAGTTCCCAAGTATTTATCAATTCCAGTTAATAGTATAGCTGGGGAAAACGGGCAAGGGGAAGAAGGGGCAGAGGGAAAGGCAAAGAAGGACAGATTCTGTCCCTGGTGTCCTGTCTGCATCGGAGTTGACAAAGAACACCTGGATGCAGGTCCTTCTGCATTAATAATGGCAGGAATCTTGGGGGTCCTGGGGGATAGATGTGCAAGCGAGGTGCAGGAAGGAGAAGAGGAGTGGATGCCCCCTATCTGAGGACCATTATCATTTGCGGGCTCTGGCAAGTCCTTTGCCTACTGTTTTGATAGTTTCCTGTATTGTTCTCTGTATTGTTCTTACATCCTGAGTTTCTACTGCTAGGGTAATAGAAGCTGAAATAAATCTTAGAATTCGTTTGCACTCACTTCTTCAGTTTACAGGCAGGAAAAAAAAAAAAAAGGAGCCTTGGTTACAGTGAGGGATTGGCTCAAGGTCACAGTCAGTGGCTGAGCTGGGATCTGGACCAAGTGGCCACAAGCTCTTGATCTTGTGCTATTTCCTTCCACCCGGCAGCCTTATGAGAAGCCTCTAGCGAAATCTCGTCCATGCATTTAAAGTTCTCAGGGCTTAAAAAAAAAAAAAAAATTACCAGGCTTCTATTTTAAGGATGAGGTGGCATTTCCTAGTTCCTTCACAACCCTTAAAAACTGGGGGGAAATGTGAAAACAAAACAAAACAAAAATGGGGGGAGGTGGGAAATGTAACTGAATACCCCTCTCAGAGCTTGTGCGTCTATTATGAGCAAGATGCTGTCCTTAAGGATGGCACGCGATGCACACATAGTCAAGAAGCAGTCTCTCCCCTGGCTCTAGTGGGGAGGAGGGGGTAAAACAAATGGCTTGCAAAGGGCAGAGTGAAGTCAGTTCCGTAAGAAGTGCAACGGTGGAGCCCTTAAAGCTGGAAGAGCCTCTCTCCTCCTTTGTTGTAAAGGAGCAAGTACGGGATACAGTGAGTACGCAGATAAAGTAGATTCAATAGTAGGGAGAAGGAGCGCTTCAGCAGAAGGGAAGACAAATCGAACTCTAGAGGCAGGAGAGCCGTCAGCAAGACTTGGGAACCTGGGAGCCCTTTTTGTCTGCAAGGTGGAGCCGTTGTGGACCCTCGGTGGGCGGAGGGGGGGATCCGTCTAAATGGTGGAGAACCCCCGAGGGTGAAACAAAGCGATCTGTGTCCCAGGTATTGGCAGTGGGAAGCCAGTGTTTCCTGAGCCCGCCGTGGTGATTGGTATTGGCGAGGCACTGGTGTAGGAGAGACGGGAAGCAAGGGTGTGAGGGAGGGGGTTGTCCACCTGAGACACGGTAGAGGCTAGAACGGTGGCAAGCGCGGAAAGCAGGGAGGGGATCCCGGAAGGGCCCATGCGGCAGAGAGGTAGAGGGCTGGAAAACGGAGGCAGGTGAGAGTCTACTGGGGAGATGCTTGGAGAAGGGCGGGCACATCCTGTGACGGGTGATCATTTCGTTCCCCGTGACCGAGGGTCTGCAGCGTCGCTGCACTTGACAGAAGTTCACAGAAGCAAGGTGAAGGAAAGCCATGAGCGTCTCCATCTGAGCGAGACAGAGCCAGCTTTGGTGGAGGCACTCGTGGAGAGCTAGAGCCACGTCTGACGAGTCAGCATGAGGTCATGGTCCCATGCTGGCCAATGGTTTCTAGGACTACACTTAGCCACCGTTACCAAGAGCACAGGCTGCAAGCCTCTGTGTCTGCTGAGGTGTACCTGCTGGGGTGGGGTGGGAAGCGGATGCTGACATTTTCCTCTAGTTTTCTTCCCTGCTGGGCTGTGGCCAACTCTAATCTTACAAGGAGAGGAGAGAGAACCACCCCCCCCCCCCGCCCGCATTTGAAGGCAGGAGATCAGGCCAAACAGTGTCCCGGACAAGCTCCGAGAAGATTCCGACCCACAGAAAGGAAGAACAGAATAAATCCTAATTATGGGTTGAGGGTTGAGGATAAAGGGGAGAGAGGGAACAGGAGAGCTCAGATGTAATCTAGCCCCCTCCCAACCCCACCCGTTCACCAGGTGCAGCCCAAACACTGTCTCTTGTCTGGGGACTTCTAGGTTCATCGATTCTATGCCCTCAGCTGGAGGAACTACTCCTGCCTCTGAAATTCCGTCATTACCTCGCATGCCATTTCACTCCACTCGTGCTGTTTTATGTGAACCCGTATGTGTGTTTCCTTCTTTATCCTCTTAGATTCTAAATTCTGGAAAGGCAAAATGTGTGTCTGAACCGTTCTTTTTGTAATATGCCCTCCCCCAGACTAGTTTCATGCTTTCCATATGGTTCTGGGACTGAAATGTTTGTTGAACTCCTACTTTAAAGAGTAACCTGGTAAACGAACTGAGTACCGTAGAAGCTACCTCCGTCAAAGCTCACGGGAAGCTGGTTTGGAAACCTCAGGTGGATAATTGGAATGTTTAGGTACAGTTCTGCCTGTGGACAGAGATCTTTCAACACCTCTTTCAGTCCAAAAAGTCATAAAGGAACACAGGCTTTCTATACCAGGATTTAGTGCTGTCTGAACCCAACACGGAAGCTCCATTTCGAAAGCCACCAATGCCCGTGAAGCAAGGGAACCTTTTATTCAAAGAGGAATAAAAAGGTTTCCTAGCAAATTCATTTTTCTACAGCCAACTCCCAGAAATACCCAGGCAAGGTTGATGAAACTGGAAGTTCCAGAAATAGCTCTTCCTAAAATAAAAGAGGAGTGAAACCAACCTAATGTGATCGCAAGAGAGAAGCTGTGCAAGAGGTTAGGAGGGCAGGTAAGATGGAGATAATGGGAGAGCTGAAGATTTTTGATCCAGGGGAAGGCTAGTATTGATAACTAAAAGAAAGCTTGGGCTGGAGCAAAACCCCATAGGAAAGTTTTCTTTGTGCCTTAGACTAAATTCAGGGATGATCAAAGATCATGTCCTTGATATAAGGCCTGAGACTGGGTTTGACATAAATGGCTGTCACCAAAT